TCCTGAGTAGCTGGGATTACAGGCACACGCCACCATGCCCAGCTAATTTTTTGTATTTTTAGTAGAGACGGGGTTTCACCATGTTGTCCAGGTTGGTCTCGATCTCTCGACCTTGTGATCCACCCGCCTCGGCCTCCCAAAGTGCTGGGATTACAGGCTTGAGCCACCGCGCCCGGCCCTGTTTTTTTAACTCTAAAAGTTAAGTACCCTGCCCTCTTTTCTAATACACATTTAAGTCATTCATAACCCTTTTGTTTAATCCTTTAATTGTATCCCACAATGATTGTAAGCTGGGTAAAAAGTTTACATGTTTAGGATCCTTAATGAATGCTTGTTGAATAAATGGAAGCATTTTTTGGTGACAGGATTAATTTCAAACAGGAAAGAGTATCATCTATTATTCTAGTGACCTACTTAGATTGATGATACCTCTAAACTTACTTTTCCTCCAAAGTATCGTCCTTGTGAACTTCCTTGAAGATGGCAGCATGTCTGTGACTGGAATTATGGGACATGCTGTGCAAACTGTTGAAACTATGAATGAAGGGGACCATAGAGTGAGGGAGAAGCTGATGCATTTGTTTATGTCTGGAGACTGCAAAGCGTACAGCCAGGAGGATCTGGAAGAGAGAAAGAACAGCCTAAAGAAATGGCTCGAGAAGAACCACATCCCCATCACTGAACAGGGAGACTCTCCAAGGACTCTCTGTGTGGCTGGGGTCCTGACTATAGACCCACCATATGGTCCAGAAAATTGCAGCAGCTCTAATGAGATTATTCTGTCCCGTGTTCAGGATCTTATTGAAGGACATCTTACAGCTTCCCAGTGAGAGGCCAGAAAGTGTGAACATACTGATTGAAAAAGACTATTTTTTATCTTTCATAAAATGTTTTGAATGTGAAGTTCGCCATCCTATTGTAGAATTTTGAAGGTACATTTGTATCTTTTTTGTATTTTTTTAAAATGTATCTATTTTTAAAGATACATTTGTAGGACTATAAAGGTATGTGAGTGTGTGTGTGTGTTTTAATTCTTTGTTGTTTTGGTAAAATAAAAGTAGTGGGTTATGAGTGCTAATTTCCTTGGGAAATTAATGAACTAGGGCAAGGATAGCATTCCATGAATAAAATTAGCACAGGGACATCAGAATTGTATGGGTCTTTTCTTGTGGTGGGGTTACACCCCCATTTTTGTTAGGCAAGAAAAGCATTTGGAAAACAATGTAATATGTTAGATTTAGTATAAAATATTATGGTAAGATCACAGTCTTGTTAAATCTCTTGCATTAACTGTATGTGTATCCTTTTTTGGTTAAAACTTGAAAGTTTTGACTACTAATAAAATCTTTTTCTTTTTTTTTTTTTTTTTTTTTTTTTTTTTGAGACGGAGTTTCACTCTTGTTACCCAGGCTGGAGTGCAATGGCGCGATCTCGGCTCACCGCAACCTCCGCCTCCTGGGTTCAGGCAATTCTCCTGCCTCAGCCTCCTGAGTAGCTGGGATTACAGGCACGTGCCACCATGCCCAGCTAATTTTTCGTATTTTTAGTAGAGACGGGGTTTCACCATGTTGACCACTTTTTTTTTTTTTTTTTTTTGAGACAGAGTTTCACTCTTGTTGCCCAGGCTGGAGTGCAATGAATGGCACAGTCTCAGCTCACTGCAACCTCTGCCTCCCGGGTTCAAACAATTCTCCTGCCTCAGCCTTGTGAGTAGCTGGGATTACAGGCATGTGCCACCCGCCCAGCTAATTTTTTTTATTTTTAGTAGAGATGGGGTTTCTCCATGTTGGTCAGGCTGGTCTCAAGCTCCCAACCTCCAGTGATCCACTCACCTAGGCCTCCCAAAGTGCTGGGATTATAGGTGTGAGCCATCTCGCCCTGTCTGTTTTTGTGTTTTGTGTGTGTGTGTGTGTGCGTGTGTGTGTGTGTTTGAGAGACAGGGTCTTGATATGTTGCCCAGATTTGTGGACTCAAGTGATCCTTCCACCTTGGCCTCCCAAATGCTGAGATTTTAGTTGTGAGCTACCACATCTAGCTGGAAGAAGTATTTTAAAACATTCAGGTTTCAGGGCCTTTGAATACAGTCTGATAACATAGCTATTTTCCTGCATAGTTGTCTAATAACAATATGGTATAGCCCAATGCCTCTTGCACTTTAGCAAGCATTAGAAACAGCTGCAGGGCTTTTCAAAACAGATTGCTAGATTCTGATTCAGTAGTTCTAGTTGGGACCCAGGAATTTGTGTTTTCAACAAACTCCCAGATACTGATGTTACCATTCCCAGACCACACTTGCAGAAGCAGTCCAGAAACTTTGGGGAACAGAAAGTCCTTCCTTGATGGCTTCAAAGTTCCATGATCCTGAAAGCAAAATTTAGCACACATAGTCTTTCTCCTTCTGACGAAGACTCTCCTGTTCAAACCCTGGGAGGTCTTCAGAAAGCAAATAGAAGGGGAATATGAACACCCTGAAGTCAGCATGGAAATGATTCCGAGAAGATGAGGAAGGCCTTTGAAAATGAAGAAGCCGGCCGGGCGCGGTGGCTCACGCCTGTAATCCCAGCACTTCCGGAGGCCGAGGCGGGTGGATCACGAGTCAAGAGATCGAGACCATCCTGGTCAACAAGGTGAAACCCCGCCTCTAGTAAAAATACAAAAAAATTAGCTGGGCATGGTGGCACGTGCCTGTAACCCCAGCTACTCAGGAGGCTGAGGCAGGAGAATTGCCTGAACCCAGGAGGCGGAGGTTGCGGTGAGCCGAGATCGCGCCATTGCACTCCAGCCTGGGTAACAAGAGCGAAACTCTGTCTCAAAAAAAAAAAAATGAAAAAAAAAGAAAGAAAATGAAGAAGCCAGCTGGGTGCCATGGCTCATGCCTGTAATCCCAGCATTTTGGGAGGCTGGCGGGCAGATCACTTGAGACCAGGATTTGTGACCAGCCTGGGCAACATGGTAAAAACCCCTCTCCACTAAAAAAAATATTGGCTGAGTGCGGTGGCGTGTGCCTATAATCCCAGGTATTCAGGAGGGTAAGGCATGAAAAGCGCTTTAACCTGGAAGGCAGAGGTTGCAGTGAGCTGAGGTTGTATGCACTCCAGCCTGGGTGACAGAACAAGACTTTACCTGAATGAATGAATGAATAAATGAATGAATGTATGAATGTCTGCCTCTCATGTAGGAAATTATCCACAGCGTGGATTGGACTGGCTAAATAAATAAATAAATAAATAAATGCCATTTAGGAAATTATCCAAAGCGTCGATTGGACTTGATCTTGGCTCAGGGACCAGGCCTGGTGCCTTGATATTGGCAGATTTATTTGCCATCGGACTAATGAGCTGGGGACATTAACTGTTTCCTGGCAACTGAGTCCTCTGATTGTGTAAAGAATTTGCCTGCAAACAAGGCCGGAGTGCTTGAAAGGGTAAGTGATCCAGATCTGCCATAGAAACCTTCCTGCTTAGGAAGTTTCCCTAGCTAGTTCCTCAGCTAAGATTCTCCCCAGGAGTTTCACTCACCTGTTTCTGTTTCCTCCTTGGGGCTATCAGCATCTGTGATTCCAGATTCCCCAGAGGGAGATTCCTCCCCAAACCTGGTTCTATTTGTTGCCAGCTCTGGGTGGTAGCCAGGGCAGTCTTTGAACACATTATCAAGAATAGTTTTTAAAGTAAAAGAGTGTTTTGACTTCTGTGTATTTTTGGTCTCCTTGGAAGCAAAGGTTTAATCTTTGCACTGATTTCTCACCATCCCCTTTTCATCTTATTTCCTAAGTCCACTTTTTTCTTCTAAATATACTGAAGTGGATTTTTCCATGCACTGAGTTTTTTTTTAAAGTGACATTTAAAACATTCACAACATTTTAATTTGCTGAGAATTGATGAAAATTTCACAATGTTTTTTTGTTTTAAGAGGCAAGGTCTTGCTCTGTCACCTAGGCTGGAGTGCAGTGTCAAGATTATAGTTCACTGCAGCCTCAGACTCCTGGCCTCAAGTGATACTCCCATCTCAGCCTCTTGAGTAACTAGGACTACAGGTGCACACTACCCATGCAGTTAATTTTTTTTTTCTTGGAGATGGAGTCTCATTCTGTTGCCCAGGCTGGGATGCAGTGGCACCATCTAGGCTCACTGCAGTCTCTGCCTCCCAGGTTGAAGTGATTCTCCTGCCTCAGCCTCCTGAGTACTGGGAACTACGAATATGTACCACCACACCCAGCTAATTATTTTTGTATTTTTTTTAGTAGAGACAGGGTTTCACCAAGTTGGCCAGGGTGGTCTAAAACTCCTGACCTCAAGTGGTCCACCCACCTCAGCCTCCTAAAATTTTGGGATTACAGGCATGAGCCACTGCACCTGGGCCCCATTAAGTGTATTTTTCAAGCAAAAATAAAAATTACTCCAGTATCCATACTTGTTTTTCACTGTTGCATATTGCTTTTTAATCCTTTAAAAACTTTTAGGTAATTGTAATCAATGTATATACTTTTTCTTTGTTTCTTTTTTTTTTTTTTTTTTTTTTTGAGACGGAGTTTCGCCCTTGTTACCCAGGCTGGAGTGCAATGGCGCGATCTCGGCTCACCGCAACTTCCGCCTCCTGGGCTCAGGCAATTCTCCTGCCTCAGCCTCCTGAGTAGCTGGGATTACAGGCACACGCCACCATGCCCAGCTAATTTTTTGTATTTTTAGTAGAGACGGGGTTTCACCATGTTGTCCAGGTTGGTCTCGATCTCTCGACCTTGTGATCCACCCGCCTCGGCCTCCCAAAGTGCTGGGATTACAGGCTTGAGCCACCGCGCCCGGCCCTGTTTTTTTAACTCTAAAAGTTAAGTACCCTGCCCTCTTTTCTAATACACATTTAAGTCATTCATAACCCTTTTGTTTAATCCTTTAATTGTATCCCACAATGATTGTAAGCTGGGTAAAAAGTTTACATGTTTAGGATCCTTAATGAATGCTTGTTGAATAAATGGAAGCATTTTTTGGTGACAGGATTAATTTCAAACAGGAAAGAGTATCATCTATTATTCTAGTGACCTACTTAGATTGATGATACCTCTAAACTTACTTTTCCTCCAAAGTATCGTCCTTGTGAACTTCCTTGAAGATGGCAGCATGTCTGTGACTGGAATTATGGGACATGCTGTGCAAACTGTTGAAACTATGAATGAAGGGGACCATAGAGTGAGGGAGAAGCTGATGCATTTGTTTATGTCTGGAGACTGCAAAGCGTACAGCCAGGAGGATCTGGAAGAGAGAAAGAACAGCCTAAAGAAATGGCTCGAGAAGAACCACATCCCCATCACTGAACAGGGAGACTCTCCAAGGACTCTCTGTGTGGCTGGGGTCCTGACTATAGACCCACCATATGGTCCAGAAAATTGCAGCAGCTCTAATGAGATTATTCTGTCCCGTGTTCAGGATCTTATTGAAGGACATCTTACAGCTTCCCAGTGAGAGGCCAGAAAGTGTGAACATACTGATTGAAAAAGACTATTTTTTATCTTTCATAAAATGTTTTGAATGTGAAGTTCGCCATCCTATTGTAGAATTTTGAAGGTACATTTGTATCTTTTTTGTATTTTTTTAAAATGTATCTATTTTTAAAGATACATTTGTAGGACTATAAAGGTATGTGAGTGTGTGTGTGTGTTTTAATTCTTTGTTGTTTTGGTAAAATAAAAGTAGTGGGTTATGAGTGCTAATTTCCTTGGGAAATTAATGAACTAGGGCAAGGATAGCATTCCATGAATAAAATTAGCACAGGGACATCAGAATTGTATGGGTCTTTTCTTGTGGTGGGGTTACACCCCCATTTTTGTTAGGCAAGAAAAGCATTTGGAAAACAATGTAATATGTTAGATTTAGTATAAAATATTATGGTAAGATCACAGTCTTGTTAAATCTCTTGCATTAACTGTTTGTGTATCCTTTTTTGGTTAAAACTTGAAAGTTTTGACTACTAATAAAATCTTTTTCTTTTTTTTTTTTTTTTTTTTTTTTTTTGAGACGGAGTTTCACTCTTGTTACCCAGGCTGGAGTGCAATGGCGCGATCTCGGCTCACCGCAACCTCCGCCTCCTGGGTTCAGGCAATTCTCCTGCCTCAGCCTCCTGAGTAGCTGGGATTACAGGCACGTGCCACCATGCCCAGCTAATTTTTCGTATTTTTAGTAGAGACGGGGTTTCACCATGTTGACCACTTTTTTTTTTTTTTTTTTTGAGACAGAGTTTCACTCTTGTTGCCCAGGCTGGAGTGCAATGAATGGCACAGTCTCAGCTCACTGCAACCTCTGCCTCCCGGGTTCAAACAATTCTCCTGCCTCAGCCTTGTGAGTAGCTGGGATTACAGGCATGTGCCACCCGCCCAGCTAATTTTTTTTATTTTTAGTAGAGATGGGGTTTCTCCATGTTGGTCAGGCTGGTCTCAAGCTCCCAACCTCCAGTGATCCACTCACCTAGGCCTCCCAAAGTGCTGGGATTATAGGTGTGAGCCATCTCGCCCTGTCTGTTTTTGTGTTTTGTGTGTGTGTGTGTGTGCGTGTGTGTGTGTGTTTGAGAGACAGGGTCTTGATATGTTGCCCAGATTTGTGGACTCAAGTGATCCTTCCACCTTGGCCTCCCAAATGCTGAGATTTTAGTTGTGAGCTACCACATCTAGCTGGAAGAAGTATTTTAAAACATTCAGGTTTCAGGGCCTTTGAATACAGTCTGATAACATAGCTATTTTCCTGCATAGTTGTCTAATAACAATATGGTATAGCCCAATGCCTCTTGCACTTTAGCAAGCATTAGAAACAGCTGCAGGGCTTTTCAAAACAGATTGCTAGATTCTGATTCAGTAGTTCTAGTTGGGACCCAGGAATTTGTGTTTTCAACAAACTCCCAGATACTGATGTTACCATTCCCAGACCACACTTGCAGAAGCAGTCCAGAAACTTTGGGGAACAGAAAGTCCTTCCTTGATGGCTTCAAAGTTCCATGATCCTGAAAGCAAAATTTAGCACACATAGTCTTTCTCCTTCTGACGAAGACTCTCCTGTTCAAACCCTGGGAGGTCTTCAGAAAGCAAATAGAAGGGGAATATGAACACCCTGAAGTCAGCATGGAAATGATTCCGAGAAGATGAGGAAGGCCTTTGAAAATGAAGAAGCCGGCCGGGCGCGGTGGCTCACGCCTGTAATCCCAGCACTTCCGGAGGCCGAGGCGGGTGGATCACGAGTCAAGAGATCGAGACCATCCTGGTCAACAAGGTGAAACCCCGCCTCTAGTAAAAATACAAAAAAATTAGCTGGGCATGGTGGCACGTGCCTGTAACCCCAGCTACTCAGGAGGCTGAGGCAGGAGAATTGCCTGAACCCAGGAGGCGGAGGTTGCGGTGAGCCGAGATCGCGCCATTGCACTCCAGCCTGGGTAACAAGAGCGAAACTCTGTCTCAAAAAAAAAAAAATGAAAAAAAAAGAAAGAAAATGAAGAAGCCAGCTGGGTGCCATGGCTCATGCCTGTAATCCCAGCATTTTGGGAGGCTGGCGGGCAGATCACTTGAGACCAGGATTTGTGACCAGCCTGGGCAACATGGTAAAAACCCCTCTCCACTAAAAAAAATATTGGCTGAGTGCGGTGGCGTGTGCCTATAATCCCAGGTATTCAGGAGGGTAAGGCATGAAAAGCGCTTTAACCTGGAAGGCAGAGGTTGCAGTGAGCTGAGGTTGTATGCACTCCAGCCTGGGTGACAGAACAAGACTTTACCTGAATGAATGAATGAATAAATGAATGAATGTATGAATGTCTGCCTCTCATGTAGGAAATTATCCACAGCGTGGATTGGACTGGCTAAATAAATAAATAAATAAATAAATGCCATTTAGGAAATTATCCAAAGCGTCGATTGGACTTGATCTTGGCTCAGGGACCAGGCCTGGTGCCTTGATATTGGCAGATTTATTTGCCATCGGACTAATGAGCTGGGGACATTAACTGTTTCCTGGCAACTGAGTCCTCTGATTGTGTAAAGAATTTGCCTGCAAACAAGGCCGGAGTGCTTGAAAGGGTAAGTGATCCAGATCTGCCATAGAAACCTTCCTGCTTAGGAAGTTTCCCTAGCTAGTTCCTCAGCTAAGATTCTCCCCAGGAGTTTCACTCACCTGTTTCTGTTTCCTCCTTGGGGCTATCAGCATCTGTGATTCCAGATTCCCCAGAGGGAGATTCCTCCCCAAACCTGGTTCTATTTGTTGCCAGCTCTGGGTGGTAGCCAGGGCAGTCTTTGAACACATTATCAAGAATAGTTTTTAAAGTAAAAGAGTGTTTTGACTTCTGTGTATTTTTGGTCTCCTTGGAAGCAAAGGTTTAATCTTTGCACTGATTTCTCACCATCCCCTTTTCATCTTATTTCCTAAGTCCACTTTTTTCTTCTAAATATACTGAAGTGGATTTTTCCATGCACTGAGTTTTTTTTTAAAGTGACATTTAAAACATTCACAACATTTTAATTTGCTGAGAATTGATGAAAATTTCACAATGTTTTTTTGTTTTAAGAGGCAAGGTCTTGCTCTGTCACCTAGGCTGGAGTGCAGTGTCAAGATTATAGTTCACTGCAGCCTCAGACTCCTGGCCTCAAGTGATACTCCCATCTCAGCCTCTTGAGTAACTAGGACTACAGGTGCACACTACCCATGCAGTTAATTTTTTTTTTCTTGGAGATGGAGTCTCATTCTGTTGCCCAGGCTGGGATGCAGTGGCACCATCTAGGCTCACTGCAGTCTCTGCCTCCCAGGTTGAAGTGATTCTCCTGCCTCAGCCTCCTGAGTACTGGGAACTACGAATATGTACCACCACACCCAGCTAATTATTTTTGTATTTTTTTTAGTAGAGACAGGGTTTCACCAAGTTGGCCAGGGTGGTCTAAAACTCCTGACCTCAAGTGGTCCACCCACCTCAGCCTCCTAAAATTTTGGGATTACAGGCATGAGCCACTGCACCTGGGCCCCATTAAGTGTATTTTTCAAGCAAAAATAAAAATTACTCCAGTATCCATACTTGTTTTTCACTGTTGCATATTGCTTTTTAATCCTTTAAAAACTTTTAGGTAATTGTAATCAATGTATATACTTTTTCTTTGTTTCTTTTTTTTTTTTTTTTTTTTTTTTGAGACGGAGTTTCGCCCTTGTTACCCAGGCTGGAGTGCAATGGCGCGATCTCGGCTCACCGCAACTTCCGCCTCCTGGGCTCAGGCAATTCTCCTGCCTCAGCCTCCTGAGTAGCTGGGATTACAGGCACGTGCCACCATGCCCGGCTAATTTTTTTTGCACTTTTAGTAGAGACGGGGTTTCACCATGTTGACCAGGATGGTCTCGATCTCTCGACCTCGTGATCCACCCGCCTCGGCCTCCCAAAGTGCTGGGATTACAGGCTTGAGCCACCGCGCCTGGCTTTCTTTGTTTCTATAGTGTGCGTGTGTGTATATATATATATATATATATATATATATATATATATATATATATTTTTTTTTTTTTTTTTTTTTTTTTTTTTTTTGAGACAGCAGAGTTTTGCTCTTGTTGCCCGGGCTGGAGTGCAATGGCGAAATCTTGGCTTACTGCAACCTCTGCCTCTTGGGTTCAAGTGATTCTCCAGCCTCAGCCTCCCAAGTAGCTGGGATTACAGGCATGCGCCACCATGCCTGGCTAATATTGCATGTTTAGTAGAGATGGGGTTTCTCCATGTTGGTCAGGCTGGTCTCAAACTCCAGACTTCAGGTGATCTGCTCACCTTGGCCTCCCAAAGTGCTGGGATTACAGGCATGAGCCACCACACCCAGCCTATATAAGCGTTTAATCCTCCTTTTCTTTCTTTCTTTTTTTTTTTTTTGAGACGGAGTTTCGCCCTTGTTACCCAGGCTGGAGTGCAATGGCGCGATCTCGGCTCACCGCAACTTCCGCCTCCTGGGCTCAGGCAATTCTCCTGCCTCAGCCTCCTGAGTAGCTGGGATTACAGGCACGTGCCACCATGCCCGGCTAATTTTTTTTTGCACTTTTAGTAGAGACGGGGTTTCACCATGTTGACCAGGATGGTCTCGATCTCTCGACCTCGTGATCCACCCGCCTCGGCCTCCCAAAGTGCTGGGATTACAGGCTTGAGCCACCGCGCCTGGCTTTCTTTGTTTCTATAGTGTGCGTGTGTGTATATATATATATATATATATATATATATATTTTTTTTTTTTTTTTTTTTTTTTTGTTTGAGACAGCAGAGTTTTGCTCTTGTTGCCCGGGCTGGAGTGCAATGGCGAAATCTTGGCTTACTGCAACCTCTGCCTCTTGGGTTCAAGTGATTCTCCAGCCTCAGCCTCCCAAGTAGCTGGGATTACAGGCATGCGCCACCATGCCTGGCTAATATTGCATGTTTAGTAGAGATGGGGTTTCTCCATGTTGGTCAGGCTGGTCTCAAACTCCAGACTTCAGGTGATCTGCTCACCTTGGCCTCCCAAAGTGCTGGGATTACAGGCGTGAGCCACCACACCCAGCCTATAT